ATTTCTAGGAATCCTCAAGAAAAAAAATCAAACATTGGTGCATTCAGTTATATTTGGTGAAATTTTCATTTGACGAAACAAATTTCATCAAAACAAAAAATAATTTAGAATGCATATGAAACCTATTACTGATTATGATTTGCATGATGGACCTCCAGTAAATTTCACAACAATGTGGAAGAGATGCCAACAATCTGTATTTCAAGTCAGCAAAATTTAAAGTAACGAAGCATTGAGGAATAGCTGCATATATAAGCATGATGCAAAAGCTGTTATAACAAAATTACATACTTACTTTAAAGCAATAATCTCCATATTCTATCCAATTATCATAACAAGTCTCTTCCGTCAACAGTGAATTAACTTCTTGATGAGAATCACTTTCAACAGCTCTGGATATCACAAAGACTGAAAAACGATGAGAAAAATGGTTATAAAAACCTCAAAGTCCAAGCTCAAATGGCATAGAAAAATTATAAACATAAAAACAAAACTGTAAAAACAGAAAATGCAATTATATACCAGCAGTGAAGCTCCCTCCATTTAATGCAAGCACTTGGCAAAAATGAGTTTGAAATATTGACAAAATAAAAACAATGGATTATTGAATGCGGTACAATGCTGACAAAAATATGAAATCACCCCACTCCACTTCTCTGTACTCCAAACAAGAACATCATGGACATCAGAGATTTTTGATGAACCTATGGGCAACAGAAAATTATGCTCACCTGGTCCCAATACAAAAACTAATTATAGATGGAATACAATTTTGAAAGAAACCAGTTTACTGGGCTCATTTTCATGGGGATATACATAATACACAGTAAATTGAAACAGTAATAGTGGCATTCATCATGGGTTTCTTTAGAAACAAACTGCAAGAGGGAGCACTGCAATTCAGTGGCGCCACCAAGTGGGGGAGATAGGGTTCTCCCTACCAGGGTGTGGAGTTTTTGATAATTCTAACGTAAATGGAGCATTCTATAGGTTCCTTGGGGCCAAAATTACTATCAGACAGGTCACAGTTGAAGACTGTGGCCACATGTGATCCCTGGTCATTCAGAATTTTATGGTTCCCAGAGAATCTGCTCCCCAGGGTAAGGGGGCGCATGGCCATGGCATGAGGGCGCTGTGCCCCTGTTCCCTTGTTTAATAAAATTCCTAAATCAATGATACAGAGTCAAATATAGAGGATAGCGAAGCTGGCAATCAAGTGTTCTACATATCACAGTCCCTCTATAGACTGTGGAGTGACTGTGTACATATACAGTAGACAGATAGTTACAGTGTTTGCATTAAAGTTTACATATCTCCTTATAATCAACAAGTAAAACAAGCACTTGTCACCATAATATTTATTTACTTGACCCTCAGTATCTGGCTAGTTAATAAATTCAATTTAAAATTTTGAAGTCTTCCACTGAAATCAGATTATTTAATCACTAAACAGACTAACAAAATTTATTAATTGATTGACTGTTTTATATTCACAGTTTCTGTGGTATCGTTGAAAACATCCTCAAGTCATAGACTGACAAGTTGGTGGAGGTGGCGCCCTGGACTGCTGCGATCCCCACTCAACAGTTTCTGAAATCTGATTGGTGCCGACAAAAAGATGTCAGAGATAAGAGGAAATATACTACACTATTCTGTCAGGCGTGGGTGGGGATCGCAGCAGTCCCAAATCACTGCACTGTGAGCCATGGTATTGTAATTTCATCCATTGAACCAATAGGAGGATGTACTTGTTTACATTTTGCTGGCATGTGCAGTATATAACTGGATGAATGGCATCAAATTAATCACATCCAAAGATTAAGATAACATATTTTTTTCTACTGTTATTTACATGTACATGTGAGTATCTCAGGTTATTAAAACAAGAGCTATGGGCAATGTTTTCATTGGAGATTGCAAGATAATTGATTGTGACATACTTTGTCATGCATCTGAGTGACCTCTAGCAAAATGGAATCCTCCAAATCAAGTTGAGTTAGTTTGTTTAAATCTGCTGGAAGGGCTTTGACTTCATGAAAAAATTAAATTGTATGTAACTGGTAAGTGACTTGAGTCAGAAAGAAAAATGGCCATGATTTCCTTTATTTTCACACTTATTTTGTTTCGTTTGAATTTTATTCTACCAAATTACACATGATACAATTTTAGTACAGGTGTTTCGCAGGAACACTGTCAATGAGCCAGCAAATCAGCACAGCAAGTTGCATTACAGCAAATCTTAGCGTGTCATATCAGCTTAGACATCACACTGTCATGCTCATACTTGTCAGTTGTAAACAAATGGTAAAGTCCGCCGGCCTATAGCCTCCTGTACATTATCAATACCACTAATATCAGTAGCTAAAAGATAATATTTTTGAATTTCAGATGACAATTTTTAGTAGTGAAATTTTAACTTTTACAACACATAGTAACTAAAATCTTCTCTGCAAATTAAATTCAAATTTTAAGGTTTATAGTGTTGTGTTTTTAAATAGTTTTTATTAGGCCACTAACCTTATTAGACAGCCTGATCCTGGAAACTTGTTGGATAACTGTATTTGACTAAGGGGGTGTAGTGTAGCAAAAATCCAGGGTCGGGCAACAAGGATTTATGTTATGAAAAATTATAACCCAATAATTTGAAAATGATTAATTATAGAACAAAAACAAAAACTTCAAGATGCTGATTTCTTATTGCAATTATTTTAACTGGCTCTACTGGTAAATTAAGGATTAAAGACACCAGTCAAGTTGGACAGAAAGTTTTACTTATTGAGGAGACATACAAACATTGATTCCCATTGTTTTAAATACATACTGAAAGTATGCATATGGTAGCACTAGTCATTGCGTAGCAGATGCAATTTGTATCTACCACTGTAACATGCTTCCAATTTTTGTGAATTTTGTGAGTGAAAATCATGATATTTTGTAACACTTTATAAATTTTATATTATAAAGCTCTCATAGTAATCTTTACAAAATGTTGTCTTCATGACGGCATTAAAAATTCAGAAGATGGACATTGAGAAGCAGAGAATATTACAAAGTTTACATTAGGTATTTCACATAACAAGTTGTTGTAACTAAACAATGCTTAAAATTATTCCTCTTACATATTTACAAATACTGATCATGTGATTTGCCCGAAGAAAAACGAGGTAGAATTCAAGATATCAACTAATGCAAAAATCTGTTAGTCAGCAAGTTTACAGAGTATGCACTCATCCATGACCTTCAATTTTACGAGACGTTTTGCATTTTGAAATTACTATCAGAGGTAATCCCAGTATATTCCATATTGAAGAGCTTACCTGAGGCCAATGTGAAAACAAGAAAAATATAGCGAAGGATGATCATGCTTGCAATAATGTAGCAATAAAACAATAGTTTGGAGAACAATAAAATAGTGGGTGGACTTGGACGTAGTAGATGGTACACAATTGGAGATATATCATTGATGACCTGGGACGTTCACTCCTGGTTGTCATGATGATGACCCCCACATGACCTTCATTATTATTTTTCAACTACCATTAACTGATGGAGGTACACACTGCCAGAGATTGTCAAGCCTATACTGCATTTACAGCAATGGGATTTAACTTATACATTTTAGATTATAAAGTTACTATAATGACTATTAAAACGTATTCGATTGCATGAAATAAGTCCAAAACATTTGAAAAATTTTCAGTGCTGGGTGATCGTTCACATTTGACTTTAAAAGGTGACAGTCGTCGCGTTGCGCATGTGCAACACTTTTGTTGATAAACATTGATTTTCCCACAATCCAATGCGCTCATCTAATGGAAATCACAAGGATGAGGTTTGACCTGGGCGCAACTTGCACTAATTACCGCTGATGAATCCTACGGTGCCTTGCAATCACCTAAAAAGACCTAATTAGAGCTTGGTAACGTCTCGGCTTGTATTCGTTGATCTGTGCAGTCAAAGTCACCATCTTTGTTTATATGAGACCCATACATGTATATCTTGCGCATGCGTTGCACGACGACTGCCGCCCTTTAAATGTACAATTTAATATAAAACTAGCTGCCACAGAAATGGCTCAGACAATGAAATATTTAAGCAAGTTCAAAAAGTTCAATGCTGTTAATTGTTGATTTTACGTTCAATGCGAGATCTTGTGTATTTCTAGATAGGCACCAACTAAACGTCTGCTACAAAAAATGATTGATTTAATTCTAACTTAAATTTTTGTTGTAGAAATGACAATTTTTTAGAAGGGAATATGGCATTGTGATACTTTTACTTTGTTAAAATTGACCTCCATTGAATGTGTACCATATCCCTCAATTAAACATGCCAGTGCATATCTTACTTTAAAGCACCAGAAATCGTTGTCAATGTCAAATATCAATTCTCAACAATTAGTACGTCACTATCTGAAAGAATTAATTTTAATTGCAAAACCATTATACATAATTTTTCAATCAGTTATAGCGTCTGTGCTCATACTCACCAATGCAAAATGACAAGGGTTTTATTAGGATGGACGCAGTCTATACAAATGCAGGATATTTAAAACCAGTATAAATTGTAGTTATTTTTCTCTTAACAAAAAGTTTACTCGTATAAATGACAAAAATCAAAATAAAAGAAAGATACCAGGAATTGTTGCTATGGAAACCATATTGTTGAGACTTCTCTCCAAAGCGTTAAAATCCTACGGTCTACTAAGAAAGTTAATAATCCAAATACTATTTTTTTTCTCCGACTTACAAATAACCAACCACAAGTAATAACTTAGAATAGCTTTTATCAAATTCCTGTATCAAACGTGGGCCGAGTCCACCCTTATTTTCCCCATTTGTAGTCTGCGGAACTTCTTACAAATTGTCACTGTTCGTCGAGTCAAATACTACTTGTGTCTTTCGCACGGTCTGTTCAACTGACTTAATGAACGCACAAGTTGGATATGAAGGTGTCTCAGCTTAAAACATCAGACTGAATAGTTACACTCAGACCACAGTCTACTATACTCAAACTGAGCGTACTGGCTACGAAAGACCTGGCCTTGCCAACTTGAAGTTGTAAGTACTTGACGATAATGACGAAGCGTCCCCAGTTGCGAAATGCTGATATTTGTCATCCAATCAATATAAAGATCCTTATTGGCCCTGGTACAGTGTTTGCGAGGGTTCAGGGAGTACCGACGATACAAAAAACTTATTGCCATATAATTTTCACAATTCCAACTGGTACAAAACTTGAAGGTTTAGACTGACCGAATGGACATTTTTTGATGACGTCATTACTCTATGTTCGTTGATTGGCTGGTTGAATTCAATCGCTCACATAACGCTTGACATAATAATACTTTTTCATAATAATAATTTATTCAAAATACTGTAGGCCTCCGGCCTCAAGGTATACTCATTGTAATTACATAACATTTTTCAGAGGACAATGTCATTTTACAGTGACTGAAACAAACAAACAAGAAAATATGAAAAGAACATGAACTGTCAGTCCAAAATAATTGTATTACGTTGTTGTTTTTTTTGTGCGAGAAAAATAAATTTAGAAATATTACGCAAGATTGCTACATTTTGTAATTGTAATAGCGATATAAATGTTTCGGGTGAGAGAAATGTATCATAATAACTTGGGACGTATTTAGATCTCTTGGTAAAACCACAGGGAGCCCAGGAACTATGATCAACTGTACGCACTCCCTATGAGCGGGGGGGGGGGGGTCGGCTGGTATCTCGTGTAAGAAATAGACAAGAGATGAAGGCTCCAGCCAGCTCATATTTTTTAAACTGGAAAAAACAGACGAACAGAATGAAAAATAAAATCTATAAAAAATACCAGGTTGAAGATTATTAGTTGTTCTTTCAAATTTCACCAAAGCCTTACCTATATTCTACCTATATCTGCAGAATAAATCAAGAAAACTACACAAATTGACTCCATTTACGAATACTTAACGGTTTGCCCGATCGCACGGCACAGTTTGGAGGCGTGGCCTGTTCAGCATTTGTCAACAACCAATCATAAGACTGGTTACCAACCACATCGAGGTTAGCCTTGCTCAACTGGTTCGTAACCAGTCTTCTGATTGGTTCTTCGCCAATCATAGTTGATCATAGTTCCTGGGCTCCCTGTGGTAAAACAGACAGATAATGCAAAAATGGTACTCGTCCTCTACACAATTGGTATTACCTAAAATACAAACTCTTTCTGTGCGTGTATTATGGAATTTTTTATAAGTTTCAATACGTAGACAATGGGCAGAAATTCTTAGGCGACACAATGCTTCACTGTAACAGTCTTTTTTGACTGTTTTTAAATAATTCTCTTGACCAAATATATATTTAAATTTTCTATAAAAACACAACTTCGGAAATAACTCGAGTCCACTTTGCCAATTTTGAATATCAATGTCCAAGCATCGCTGTTTGAAGAGCTTAACAAAGTATTCAGAGTTCCCCAACCCCTTGGTACATGCCTCACCTATTTTTAAATTACTACAAAATTGAAATTGTAGCTTGACATTAAAATAACCTTTCTAATACCCGTTTTTTTTTCTCCAGAAACCTCCATCGGAAATCCAATATCTCTGTGGTAGAGACACTACCTGCTGCTATTGATGCCGCGTGATCGAACGCCTTTCTTACTGTCAGACCTGGTACGCATGCTGAAGCATAGCTTTTCAAAACACCATCTAAACACGTACTTATTTTTGTGAAATTATTTCCCAATACAAGTGCAAAAACTGAAAATAGATACCCTATATACATACTAAAATCAAACTGTTTCCAAGTTGAGGTAAAATGAATTCATGAGATTCCTTTTTCCAAACTTTATTTCTTTATTTAAATATTCAACCCTAAACACAGTACATGCATGATATGCGCGTCAAATAACTAAATAACACCCCCTTTTCGCGTTTTTTTTACTTCAGCTTGCGTACCGTATTTTATTCAGAGACCCCCCCCTCTGCCGGGCTAGCTGTTCAGTCATAGCCAAGGTGCAAGGTTTCATGTAAAAATGTATACTGTGATTCACGTCAAACTTATCACGTCTCTATTATAATATTATATATTATAATTAATGAGAGTCCTTTCTGTAGCCTACCTGTGCATGTCGGATGTTATGAATTTGTGTTCTGTAAGCAAAGACACCCGTTTGTTGCTGTATGGTACTACCTTTCTAAATCGTAACACACGGGAAACCTTGCCAGCTCTATGAAGACTGCACGTGATCACTACTTTGCTCTTATTGCTTGGTCTTAATTCAGCTAAAGTTATTATTCTTTTCTTTCGCGAGTTTATCTGTGATTAAAACATATTAGTATTTAAAAGTATTTATCTTTGTGTTGTCTGAATCATTCCATCCAGCTTCACGAATCCTAGTACTATTTCGAAATGTTTTGCCTTATTAGACTTCAGTCGTTCCAAATTAGTGGCGAGAGGGGCGGTATTTTAGAAGCGTTGATAAATGACAGGCAGCTTTTGATCTTGGAGTATATTATTGGTGGATATTTTGCTTAGATTTTAATGGCAACTTTTCTGATAAATTGTGGCGACACTTTGAATGCAAGTATAACTATTTTGTTAGTGCTTATATCAACTGATTAGAGTGGGTATAGCTGACATAATGTATAGGAATTCACACGATCTTGACCAGGATGAAACTCAGCGTGAGAGTGGAAATGATGATATGCCTGAACTTGTATGCAATGCTGTTATAGCTTGTGTGAATGACCTTGGATCAGATGGAAATGAGAAGAGTAAAGTTTGCTGATGGAGAATGAATGTGTCTAAGATGCAGTAATAGAGAAAGATTGTGCAAGAGAAAACTATAATAAATTTGAGGAATTCAGTTCTAATTCCTGGAGGATTTGAACAAGTAGTTGTATTCATCTGTAGAATTTAATTTAAGAACCCCACACTTTATTTGAATGGAGATAGTAAACCACACATTTGTATTCATAGGTTAATTGTAAACAACTTGCATTCATAAGAAAATTGTGAACCACATACAGGTATTCATACACATATTGTAAACCATGTGCTTCAATTCATATGATTTGCAAACTTCACACTGCATTCAGTGTAAACCACACTTTCATCCATATGAATATAGCACACCACACTTATATTCATATGTAGATTGTAAACCACACATTTGCATTCACATACTGTAAACTCCACACTTTTATTCAAATGCAGATAATGAGCTACACAATTGTATTTATATGTAGATTGTAAACCACACATTTGTATTCATAAATTGTAAACCATGCACTTCCATTCATACGAATTGTAAACTTCACACTGCATTCATATGTTGTGTAAACCAAACTTTTATTCATATGGAGATTGTAAATCATTTATATTGAGATGTGAAACACACTTGCATTTATATGGAGATTGTAAATCATTCATATTGAGATTGTAAATCATTTATATTGAGATTGTGAAACACACTTGCATTCATATGTAGATTGTAAATTATTCATATTGAGATTGTGAAACACATTCACATTCATATTGAGATTGTGAAACACACTTGCATTCATATGGAGATTGTAAATTATTCATAATGAGATTGTGAAACACATTCGTATTCATATGGAAATTGTAAATCATTCATATTGAGATTGTGAAACAAATTTGCATTCATATGGAGATTGTAAATCATTCATAATGAGATTGTGAAACACATTCGCATTCATATAGAAATTGTAAATAATTCATATTGAGATTGTGAAACAAATTTGCATTCATATGGAAATTGTAAATCATTTATATTGAGATTGTGAAACACATTTGCATTCATATGGAGATTGTAAATCATTCATATTGAGATTGTGAAACACATTCGCATCATATGGAGATTGTAAATCATTCATATTGATTTGTAAATCATTCATATTGAGATTGTGAAACACATTCGCATTCATATTGATTTGTAAATCATTCATATTGAGATTGTGAAACACATTTGCATTCATATGGAAATTGTAAATAATTTATATCGAGATGTGGAACACATTTGCATTCATATTGAGATTGTAAATCACTCATGTTGAGATTGTGAAAACATTTTCATTCATATGGAGATTGTAAATCATTCATATTGAGAATCACATTTTCATTCATATGGAGATTGTAAATCACTCATATGGAGACTGTAAATCATACATTTCATTTGCATATGGAGAATGTAAACTACAAATATTTCAGAAGAGAAAACTGTAAATTTATTTTTGTTGTTCACAAAATATACACAAATTCAGATATCAAGAAGATATCCATATTTACTTTCTGAATTGTACACAATAAAGTAATATTGGGAATTGCAAATTGTAGACATTCTTTCCATTCAATATTTACAAAAAAATTCTTTGCAAAATACATGTATCATTTAAACTATACACACTATATATAACACGGGATTGTATATGACTTAGTCTCAGGGCTGATCAAATCATATTCTTGGGGAGGACATTCGGGCATTTTCACCGCCTGGCAACCATCACAGTGAAAAACTTGAATGAAGACCGAAAACTTTCAGAAAACGGTACTTTCGGCTGGTTGGTGAGACTCTTCTGAACAGTGTAACAAGGTCACCCCTGCATATCCAACATATATAAATTTTGTTGTCCGGGATTGCTTCAAAGTTAATTTTGTGCCGTATTCTCAAACCACCGTTCTACACCAGCTCGCACAGAGCCCATAGAAATACATGGTACATTGGTGCGCGATTTAGCAACGTGGAACTTCCTGTGACATAACTCCGCCCACGAGGATATCATAAACTGTAAGGTACACTGCCCTCTGTTGGCATTACATAAAATAACTACATTTTAAAACATTCAAGTTCATAATCATGTCCATTTTGTTTACATTTACGTGTGAGTAAACAATTTATAATACAGATATATACTTAACAAAAAGGGGAAACAAAAATTTTCTGATATTTGGGAAATTCTTTGTGGTGCATCAGTCTAAAAGCACAAGTAATATACGTAGTGATATATTTAAGTTAACTCACACAAAAATTACATGCTTTTGAAACAAAATCTGACTGTGTTCTACATGCAGCTGTTTGCACCTCAGTGACAATGATACTACTTGTAAATGAATTATTTAAAAAATAATTGTTCATAGAAGTACATTTCCTAGGACAAATTTAAAGCTCTAAATATTGTTCGTGTCCAAAAAAAATTGATATCAGAAAACACAAAGTTTAACATATATTGCCTGTAACTAAAATAAATTTATTAGTACTAGTATTATTTTTTATTACAATTTGCAAGGTGATAAGCTCATAATCAGGTCCAAATCATATTTTAGGTTACAGCGAGACTGTAATTAATTTTTATTTTCCACATTCCTACCAACATCTATGCAGTAGATGGATGACAAGATCCTCAATTAATATCTTTTATATCCATAGTTGATTTGACAGAAGCAGGGTGGTCTGAAAATAAATAAGTCTTACTACATAAATCAGTCCCAGATGTTATTTTATAAGCCTGAATTTGATTGGTTGTACAACAAGGCGTGCCTTTATTGACTATTGTAGTCGTTCATTGTGTGGGATAAAAATCACACAATACCAACCACATCATGTTACACCATGGATTTTATTATAAGACTGCCCTCTTTTCATTTTTATGCATGCAATTTGCCTGATTTCTCAGCTATATTGTCCAAATGAAAGATTAGAGTTGTGGGGTTACTGTGGAAACTAGGAACACCAGAATCAAGCTCCTCTAAGGGAATGAGGCACATGAGACGCACCAAGGTCCCCCTAAGTGGATGAACATTGTGACATGTGCATCAAGGGTAACAAAGGAATAATAATAAAACACAAACATGAGTACAAGTTTACCAAAATCTGAGAAATAATATACTTGGCCAAGCTAACCTCTCAGAACGTACCAAAACTACAGACAATGAGAATATTGTGTCACATACAGTAAGTAATAATAATGAAGCTGAACAAATAAAAAAATATCATTTAGTTTCACCATCTTAGGGAAGACAAATAAATCATGCCGAACCATAAACTAAGAAAGACCCACCGCAGTCAAAACAATCCTTCGACAAGACAAAAAGTTATAATATATATTCATAATTAATAATTTAATAATATTATTAATACTAATATTGGGTGTTGGCGATTTGATAGAAAATGGGAGGTGACAGTTTTTTGAAGCATGCATGAATTCCTTAGATGAATTCAGTATCTACATCTCTATACAGAAAGTATGATTACATAATAGACATATTCATCCATGTCAATTCCGTCAATTCCCTCAAATACTGTAAATGCATTAAGTATTCACTGGGTTTTATTTCACTATTTTCGCTGATAAGAAAAAAACACATTAAATTAAATCTATGTGGACATATAAAATAACAATGGAACTTATTGTTTCCCTGCCAAATGTGTGAACTTAAAAACCCAGTAAAAAATATCAAAATAAATGGTTTGACAGTAATAAAATCGAAAAAGTTGATAGCAGGAAAAAATGTACAGTGCATTGTGTGAACTAAATAAATAATGTCTGATCTGATCTACACTGGATTGATTATTACTTCACATGATTCTCTCAAGGAAATTAGTGACTTTATCAAGTTCATCCGGTGACGCTTGGTAGAACTGTTGATTGAGTCTGTGGATCTCAACATCACCATTACCAACACCAATAGCCTGTATTTAAGGTGAAAACAGATTGTTTAAATGAGACTGACCTAGGCTTGGAAGAGCTAGCACAAGAAAATGCAGAAGAATTGAAAACAGTAATGGAATCCATACTGTCCAAAAATGAGTCTATGTCTTATTGGACCAGATGCCGTCTATTAACGCGAGACTTTGAAAAATAAATGAATAATAGACAAGTGAATCAATCTGAAAGGCTGTAGGTACAGGACAGGCTGCGCATGTGATTTCTCATGGTAATGTACAGAAGTCATAGAGATAGCTAATCATGAGATAAACCAAATTTGTTCCTGTCTACGTATTTACATAGCGATTCAAGACAGGATAGTCACAGTGAAATTTCATTCTCATGAACACCGTGATGAAAACATAAAATTGCTCATAGTATGTTGTAGAGGCATGGTTATCCTGACATGAGTAGGCGTGAGTAGACCCTTGCTGGCCGAAGGGCATCAGACCTCACTCATGCGTGACAGAAAAGTATACCTCTCATTGGCAAGATCATTACTGCAAAATCGCAAAGTTCACGCCTTCTTGCAATGAGTTCATTGAATATTCATTTTGGTGGTCATGGTAACATCGTGATAACATTGAGCGGAAATTTGCCAGCACCTTATCACAAATTATGTCAACAAATAAACTCTGCTGTGAATGGTTACTCTTTGATGGCTGTCACTATCTGCGTTCCTGCAATTTGATTTGTACTGAAAAAAAGAGCACCGCGGAGGGCGCAACTTACACGACCTCGTCAGGCTAAAGCATGGTGTACTCACTATTTCAGGTCTTCTGCCCTGTAATCCAAACCCTGTAGCTGCATGGTCATTAGATAGACTACATGCTGTTAATCTGAAATAAAAACACAACATACGAACACATGTAATACATCTAGTTAGCACCAATAAAAATAGAATTTACTGTTCCATAGAAAGCTGTATTTGCATTCAGTGAGATTCAAATTCAAAAACGCATTCCAGTTTATTGATATCCCATTCTAACAGTTTCCCTTGTTTACATCTGACAAGATAGCAATATAGCACATTGTAGAAATAGAATACTGTTACTGTACAGATCACGAACGTCCAGTGCAGACACAAATCTTGTAAAAAATGTTTGTTGCCATGACTCTAAATTATTTCCACAAGGATGAAAAAAGATTAAAAATATTATCACGAGTTAACTGCAAAAGTGTGTACTCGGGCAGTATGGTATCTCATCAACGATATGTCTCATCGATATGTCTGCCATACCGCCTTTGCACAAACTTAGCTGTATTCTTGTGATAAACTCATATCTCATGACAATTGGGTACATGCAGTCAAATGTTTACATTTTTGCTCACTGATCAACACAGGCTTGTGATTTGTTGCAATATTTTATTTTATCTTCAAATGCACATCAGTTGCTACATATGCGCATAATGAAAACAAGAGCAACTGCATACATGTATACTGGTACTAGTAGTTACAAAATAAACTGCTCTCTAATCTGAGTAGATGGGTGACTGAAACAGAGGCAAAATGACTGGCCCAAATTCATTCCTGTCAACCTTTTCTGATACGAACCATTTAGTTTTAAAAAAAAAAGATTTTCCAATATCAGATTAAGACGGTCTATACCACGTATCAATGTGCCATGGATTCACTTGTTTAGCTTTGAGGATGAGATGGAAAGTTAACACACTCCTTGATGACCCATTTTTTCCCATTTATTTTAGCTTTCATCAGGTGATGTGCTAATACCAGAATAATGTATTTCCAATGGTCATATTCATACAATTAAGTATAATAGTATTAGCATAAACACATTGACAAATAACCAGTAATTCTTCTGTTATTCTTGAGATACAAGTGTATTCTAAGTAAACATACCTTCCACCATTGAACTGTTCAATTTTGATCGGTATACCATCACTATGTAATAAATCCCATACATACACCTTTGCTGTCTCATCTATGACAAAAAACACAGCTGGTCTACTCTGTGACCATTTCACATTGACTACAGCCATCCCAGAGGTGGAGTTTGGCCATGTAACTAGTGGCTGTTCTGTATGTAGAATACAAATAAATGGATGTGTAAATTGAAGGATTGCACAATCTACCACCACTCTATCAAGTAATAAAATAGATTTCTAATTTGTCACGACAACCAACATCATTGGCATGTGCAAGTGTGCATATGACTGTTCTGTTATTTTCTTCTCTGGTTTAACTTTAACACATATACATACTATATGCAGTTCAAAACAATAATATCGTTGTAACTATAGTTTTACTGTCATGAGAGCTTGCCAGTAAAAGCACAACTGGCTTTTAGCAGATCTCTAAAAACTGGCAAATATATACGTAACCATTCATTGTGTGATCCTTCTCTGTATTCTCTCTCATCATTTGTTATCAGTCCTTAACTGTTTGGTGTTCTATCTAGAAGTTCTAATGGCAGTTTCTATGAAACATCATATCTGATAATATGCATATACAAGAAGTGCCACGCCCCCCAACCCTGTTAAATATAAATAGTGGTTACTATGGCAATTAGCATTAATAATATTAACATACCTGCTGTGGTGCTGTGTAATCTGAGAGAACCATCCACACAACCAGCCTGTAAAAACATAACAAGCAACATAAGTACAGATTTGAGTAGAGCAACCTCTATTTATTAACAAACAAAACTTTTGTTTAATGTTCAGATTTGGTTCTCTGGTTGCATTCTTTGCATTCCCAAAAATAAAAACAAATTTAACTGAACTTACTAAGAAACATGGCAGGCCAAATGGTGAGAAATCGACTGCTACAACATCAACAGGAACATCTAAGAAAGAAAGATATATCAGTATTTCATGGAAAGTAACTCATTGAAAGTTGATCTTTCACATTTCGTGGAAGAACAAAATATCTGCACTTAACATTACTTTTTATATTTCCTTACTTACAAATAATTAAAAAATCAAGAAAGAGCCTGATATGCATGATTTGAATAAAGCCTTTTATGTATAGTTTGAAAGCGAGCTGAAATTATGACTACAAGTAAGATTTGAAAGTGGGCTGAGGAGTCTTACATGTATGATTTGAAAGTGGGCTGAGGAGTATTACATGTAT